GGGTACCTTCTCTGATGAGGGTGGTGGTGATATCCATGGCCGATCCACGCGTACCATTGGAACCCCACCGGCTTCCAAACATTGGGTTCATAATCGAATGGTTCCTTATCCGTAAGGGCTTCGCCCCCTGCCGCCGGCCCCCTCTCTCGGAGAATGGGCCATGGAAGAGCTAAGTCATGAGGCCTTGGCGCTGTCGTGAAGCAGTATCGAAACTTCATGCGAAGCCGATTCGCAATCAGCAAAACCAACTGATCACAAGAGGGGTTACCACACCTGGCGATTGGTAAGACGTGTATGGTTTACGGGCTTGGTTACCACACCTTGCGATTAAAGGGCCGAAGTTCTCGCACGTTGCCTTGCGATGGATGTTTATTTCGGGCTTGGTTACCACACTGCTTGCGATGGACCCTAAAGGCCGCGTTCTCGCAGTTTGGGTTACCACGCCTTGCGATGGATGTGCGTGAAGGGTGGCACCGAATTTCAGAAATGTGGCAAATCCCCTGTGTTTTTGGACCCTGACCCCGCGGATCTGCGTGAGGGGTGGCACCGAATTTCAGAAATGTGGCAAATCCCGTGTGTTTTTGGACCCTGACCCCGCGGATCTGCGTGAGGGGTGGCACCGAATTTCAGAAATGTGGCAAATCCCTGTGTTTTTGGACCCTGACCCCGCGGATCTGCGTGAGGGGTGGCACCGAATTTCAGAAATGTGGCAAATCCCTGTGTTTTTGGACCCTGACCCCGCGGATCTGCGTGAGGGGTGGCACCGAATTTCAGAAATGTGGCAAATCCCCTGTGTTTTTGGACCCTGACCCCGCGGATCTGCGTGAGGGATGGCACCGAATTTCAGAAATGTGGCAAATCCCGTGTGTTTTTGGACCCTGACCCCGCAGATCTGCGTGAGGGGTGGCACCGAATTTCAGAAATGTGGCAAATCCCTGTGTTTTTGGACCCTGACCCCGCGGATCTGCTTGAGGGGTGGGACCGAATTTCAGAAATGTGGCAAATCCCGTGTGTTTTTGGACCCTGACCCCGCGGATCTGCGACCGAATTTCAGAAATGTGGCAAATCCCGTGTGTTTTTGGACCCTGACCCCGCCGATCTGTGTGAGGGGTGTCGATTTCGAGCCCCCCCAGCAATTCAGACAACGCGCCCAGGAGGTGCTAAATATCTGGTTTGGGCCTCCCCCCCCTTGCGCGGTCAATCAACTAGTTACAGCAACCAGCAAGAAGCAGAACTGTAACACTGGAAACTACAAGCTACAACTGGTACAGGAAACTGCGAATCCCGCGCCTACAGCCTGGTGGCCCCACAAGGGGGCCGGCGGATCCAATGCCCTCATCGTAGCTTGCACCAAATAGCTTGCACATCCACGGTGCAATAACTTTTTTGGGGGGTCCGCGCTGGCTAACACTGTGTCTTTGGCCGCTAACACTGTGTCGGGGCGTGGGGCGACGACCGCAAAACCAACGACAATCCGCACCGCGGACCTCCACTTCAGCAACGCACTCACGGACACTGTAGGACCGCTCGTCTCCCTCACTCTCGTTCAATCGTTCACCGTTCGTTCTGCCAGTCTCTGGCTCCCATCTCCTCTGCTGCCCCCATACGTCCCGCTTCTGCTCCGCGCGATGCGTCAGTCTTCAATTTCGGCTGGGCAGAAGTTGTTCATCACGTGGATGTTGTGCAGATTCCATCGTGCAGGGCGCGCGCCCACTGCGCCAGCGGGAGCGCGTAGTAATCTAGCATGCTGCTACAAGAGAATACACATGAGAACAGAAGGAGCGGGGGGGAAGGGGAGCATGGGGGGGGGGGCGGACGAGGGGAAACGTAAAGGCAGAGGGTCGACACGGCCCCGCGAATTTCGGGTTTTGGGGTCTGCAGGGCGGGGAGCCAACCCGCGCCACGTGGTCTCTTGGCTCCCAGGGGGGCGTGCGACCTCCCCGCCCAGCGACACGCGCCAGCCGTGGTCCTAGCTCCCTGCTTGCCCGCCCGGCCCCCGGGGTCTGTCTTCTCGTCTCGTCTTCTCCTCGTTTTCGGGCCCCCCTCTTGTGCTGCGGACCAACTTGTCTCCCGGCATCCCCAGCTTCTACCCATGCACACATGTCTCCTCCTCCTCCTCCTCCTCCTCTTCCTCCTCCTCCTTCTCCACCCCCTCCTCGTCCCCGCCCTCTCCCTGCTCCTCCTCCTCGTCCTGCTCCCTGCGCCTCTGGAGCGCGGCGTCCGCCAGCCGGTGCGGTGTCCTCCTCCTTCTCCCCCCCCTTCCTCTTTGCCCCTGCCCCCCCCCCCGCCCAGTTCCCCGCCGTCTCACGCCCTTTTCGGTCCTCCTCCCCCCTCCTCCTCCCTCCGCTATCACACTTCTTCCTCTCTTTACCCCATCTTTCCCCATCATTCCTTATTCGTCTCCTCTCCTCGCTCCCCCGTTTTCTCTCCCTTCGTCTTCATTCCTCCGTCCTCTCTACTCCCTCCACCTCGTCCTTGCTGCTGCCTTCTACTAGCCTGCACCCCTCTCTAGCCCTTCTACGCCTCTCCCCGCCGCCTCCTGCTCCTTCTCCTGGCCACTCCCGCGGCACAGCAGAGGGACGACCGGAGAAGAGCAGAAAAAGGGTACAAGCGCGTGAGATGCTGGCCCCGAATGTGCCTCGTGGTTTCTGGGTGGTTCTTGTAGGCCGTTGGAGCTCCAGCGTGGCAGAGGCCCCCTGGCCCCCCTGCTGCCCGCTCTCCTCCCCTCTCGTCCTCCGCGCCCTCCTCCCCGAGCCACTCTCGGGACCTCTCCTCCAGCTCTGCAGCCAGCCTCGCCCTCCCCCTTCCTCGCCCTCGTTCTTCCCCATCCCGGCATTCAGCCTCGGCCACCCCCCTTTCCCGTCTCCTGTTTTGCGGCCTCCTCGCCCCCCTTCGCCGCAGGCTTTCTGGCCATGCGGTTCTCCTCCAAGGCGCACAAAATGTGGGAGGTGTTCCAGCTATACTTGTTTGACCAGGAGGACGTCGTCTCGTTGGTATTGTGGACTTCGCGTGCACGCACAAGAAGCAAGTGCGCCGACGTGTTCTGATACCTTCGCGCTGCCCCACCGTACAACCACGCCTGCTGGCATGATTGTTGAATTATTGCTGGTTGTAGTAGACACGGTGCTTTAGTTGCTGTGCAGCATGGAGTGGGTGCTGCGTAAAGTAGTGCGTAAGAGTGTGACGTCCTCACCTTCGTTCTCCTCCCTCCTCCCTTCTCCCCCCGTCTCTTTCCTGTCTTCCTCCATCCTCCTCCGTCCATAATCTACTCCATCACCCTCTTATCGTTCTCCCCCTTCTCGTTCTTCTCCTCCTCCTCACCCTTCACAAGCGTACCTATATTAGCCCAACAGTTTCGGGATCTTGCGGGTCCCAACATGCGCACGTGCGTTCCCTCCTTGCGTGGTTTGCCTGTACAATGGCGATGGATGAGTGGTGCTGGCTTACTTCTACGTCTTGGCGATCTTCCACGCTTGCTTGGTGCTATCTTTCGCGGGCTGCCGCTCTTGGATGGCGGAGCTGGCTTTTGGCACGCCCCTCTTTGCAGCTCAACGACGCCGCTAAGAGTGGGGAACTATTCGTTGATTTAATCTCAGTTTCTCGTCCTCCCTGGGCTTTGAAGGCCGTCTGTTGACAGAATATGCTCCGCAGCAATTAAGGCTAAGAGCGAGTGCCTTCTTCCCGGACCTTCGGGTCGGCGCCGCGCGCGCCATCGCGGGCATCACGCGCACTTGCTTGTGGTTGTCGTTCGCCGCCCTCTCCTTCGCTGGCAGTCGAGGGCGGCGAGCTTTGAGGAGCCTCTTCGGCCTGGATCCGGGTTCTGGTAGCTACTACAGGGACGACGACGAGGCCGGCGATCCAGAGCTCGAGGAGGTGGAGCATTTCGACGGCATCGAAGTGGAGCCCAGCCGCGGGTACAGCGACTACGACGGGTACACGTCCTTGTACTACGACGACGTCGAGCCGATGGCGTGGAAGAAGTGGAATCGAGTCTATCTTCTCACTGATGTGGCTGGGCGACGCGGCATGACGGCGCTCGTGATCGACCCAGTCGAAGGAGAGCCGGGGACCTACACGATCGTGGATCCGACAGGGCGTGTGCAGACCAAGGACTTGAGGGACAAGCAGAAGGTCTTCACGAGGCCCCGCGCGGGGATCGACTGGGCTCCGTTCCCGGGCGTCACGGGGGACGAGAAGAAGGAGCTGGAGGATGAGAGCCTCCGCATTCGACGTCGACGTGGAGCAGGCTGGGGAGACTGGGCCCTCGGGCGCAAGAAGGCGGCCGCCAAACTGAAGCCCAAGGCGGCGGCCAAGACCGGCAAGGGGCGCAAGAGCAATCGCTCGAACATGGTGTACTGGATTGCCGAGAACGCTTTCACCACGGGAGTGGCCGTCTGGACGCATCGCACCTTCGGGGTCGTGGGCTTGGGATGCCTTGTGGCCTACAAGGCCTGGTCGGCTCTAGGGATCGGCGACCTGGTCAGCTCCAGCATCGAGCGAGTCAGGGAGGTTGGCGATTTGTTCGACGACATGGACGAGCGGTACCAGAGCATCCGCACCAAGTACGACGACGGCGACTACGATCTGGCGATCATCGCGCTGGGGCTTCTCTTCATTCTCCTCTTGGTGTTCTGGCCCACAGTGAGGAGTCGTCGGGCTCGCGGTCGCAAGTGGTCGAGGATTGGAGATGAGACCGACTCCGATTCTTCTTCGCCTGATGAGGGCACGGCCGCTTCGGACTCTGACGAGGACTCGTTGCGGGGCGGCCCCGACGGGGCCCTCGCCATGCTGCTCAGCTCGCAGGCGAGCCTTCAGTCCCAGATGGACGACCTCAAGAAGCTGATCAAGTCCGGTGCGTCCTCCTCGGGGCCCGACGTCTTCGACCATGGCGGCTGCGGGTTCTTCTTCGAGCGCACCGGCTCCGCCAGGCGAGTCGCCTGCGGACGAAGCGGACGTGAAGACTGGGATCGACTCGCTCCTTCATCGGCTCCGAGAGCATGAAGGCGCTGTGGAGCGAGATGCGGGTGAGGAGAGACCTGAAGCCGCCGCTGGCCTCGTCGCCACCTCTGCGGCTCGGGGTTCCCCCAAGGAGTCGATACAGAAGTACCTCAAGGAGCTCGAGCGTGAGTCGGACAACCCGCGCTTGAGCATGTTGGAGCAGCTCAAGAAGTTCCAGGTCACCGATTGGAAGATCGGGCCCTCCGAGGCTCGCATCGCTCCCAAGGTGCTGTCGCGCCTCTACAGGCACAACACCACCGCGACCTTCCAGGTTAAGGAGTACATCAAGTCGAAGGAGATGAGCACCTCGCACGTGGCGGGAGAGCTCCGCCTCCTCGCGGCCATCCTCGACCGCATGGTGGCGACGAAGTTCGAGATGATCAACTCCGAGGCGGTGGAGGTCATCTGCAGGCGGATCTACGGCCTCTTCCGCGCTTGGGAGCAGGTGTCCAAGATGAGCGATTGGAAGCAACCCAAGGGCGAGGGCGGCAAGAAGTGGCGCTCAAAGGTTCGCTGGGATCTAGCTGACGAGTACGACGCCCTCGCCCTTGAGAGTGACGACCTGATGATCGAGGAAGCCGACGAGGAGGTCAGGAAGCGGCTCGAGCGCAAGGCCCTTTTCGCGAAGTACCTGGATAAGGCAGGCGGGGGGGCACCGGGCGCTGGGGCCCGCGACGACGAGTGACGGTCACCGGCCTCACCTTCGGCAAGTGAGGAGCGGGAAGTCCCAGCTGGGTGCCGATCGCTGCTCTCCAAGCTCTTCAAGTTCAATTGCAAGTTTTTGTGCGCTTCGCTCTTCGTGATCTTCGGCGTTGAGGCCCAGTGCCTTGGCATTGCACGTGCTGGAGCTCACGACGGTCAGCTTCATCATCGGTGGCGTTGGCCTGGAGCCGTTCTTTGTGTGCCTGCCCGCCTTCGTCATGGCGCGCGCTCGTGCTCGCGATCCTTTGGGCGGAGTGCCGAGGTCCCCAGGCTTCCTGCCGGTGTGCTTCGGGCAGGGGTCCGACGACGAGCTGCTCCTCACCTTGAAGAGGGTGAACCGCTCGGCGAACGCTATCGTGGCGATGACGCGAGGGTCGTTGTCAGGTCTGGCATCGACGAGTTGGAGAGGCTCCTCGAAGGCTTGGGAGAGTGCCACGGCTACCCAGAGGGCTGTGACTTCGAGGGCGTGGAGTCTGTGGTGGGGTCGGCGGGCCTGGGGGCGGCTCCCCGATGGCAAGGCGGCTTTTGCCCGCCTGGCGCGAGATTCTGGCGGTTTCTATTCTGCGGCTACGGGAGGGATCCAGCGGGGCGCTCTTTGTCGAGGCGACCTTTGCCCGCTCGTGGTCGAGAACGTGGCGGCCCCACCGGGCGACACCGAGCCCGTGGACTTGTGCGCTGCTTCCCCGACGGCCAGGCCTTACTTGTCCTGCCCGCTGGAAACCATGATCAAGAACGACCTCGAGGTGGACTGGGTGAAGTACGATTCGATTCGACCGTATTCGGATCCAGTGTTGAGAAGCAAGCAGGTGCGGGTGAAGTTGCTGCGAAAGCTCCTGGCGGGCAAGATGTTGGCCTGGACTACGGAGGTGCAAGAGTTTGTCAGCGTGTTTACGGTGGTGAAGAAGATGGACGACCAGGGTGTGCTCTCCTCTCGTTTGGTCTGGGACATGAGGAGGGCCAATCTCCGCTTTCATGCGCCGCCATGGACGCCGATGGGCTCCCCTGCGGCCCTCGCGGCCATCGAGCTGAGCGAGGACATCAAGGGCGAGCTCGAGGTCACATCCTTCGTGGGCGACGTTCCGGACTTCTTCTATCGGTTGGCGCTACCGCCCTCGCTCTGGCCCTTCTTCGTCTTCCAGGGCGTCTCCGCCGCCGAGTTGTGGGACGCGGCATCGCCCGAGTGCGAGGCGGCTGGCCTTGGCAGGCCCGACGATGGCCAGAGCGTGGCCCTCAAGGTCCTCCCTATGGGCTTTTCTTGGGCCGTCTTTTTTGCCCACAGCTGCCTCCAGGACGTCGTGGACCAGGTCGAGTTCGAGGGGGGCTCGGCGCGAGTGCAGACCGCGTCGGCCGCGCCGCAGTTCCCGGACTTCGGGATGCTCCATTGGCTGTTCATCGACGACTACGGAGGCATGAGGCTGGAGCGCAAGGGTCAGGCCGAAACCGACCTGGAGGTGTCCGGGGACTTGGATCGGATCAAGAAGAAGCTGGGGGAGCACGGGCTCGACTCGCACAAGGAGCGCTTCGGGTGCGGCCTCGAGCGCACTCTGGGCGTCACCCTCTCCGAGCACGGCCATCTGCACATCGTGGAGGAGAAGATGAAGGATTTGGTACTGATCGGCGAGTTCTTGCTCACGGCGGAGGTTGTGCCCCCCCGAGGGGTCGAGTCATGGCTGGGCCTCGCGACGTGGGCCATGATGTGTGCGAGGTCTGCCCTAAGCATTCCGCACGCGATCTACGCCTGGGTGCTCCAGTTCCGCGACGCCACCGACGCGCCTCTATGGGGCGAGGTGAAGGACGAGATCTCCGCCATCGTGTCCCTCTCCATCTTCTTCTTCACGGACCTCACGGCGGGGTGGCACGACTGGGCTTTCATGTCAGACGCTTCGTCGTGGGGCTACGGCGTAGTCGCTTCCAAGGCCAACCTGCACGAGCTCCGGGCCGAGGCGAGGCTGAGCGAGATGAGGGGTTGGGCGACCAGCATCGAGGACGAGTACAGCCGCGTGGAGGAGGAGGCCTTCGCGCTGCAGGGGCTCGACGCCGAGGCCGACGAGCACCAGCAATGCAGGGAGTCACGTCGGGGACGCCCTGGTTTCCTCGAGCTTTTTTCGGGCTCTGGGAGGCTGGCGCTCATCGTCGGTCAGCTGACATCGTTATGGACCGACACCTGGGACGTCGAGATGGGCGCGCGATTCGACCTCACGATCGACGAGAACCTGGCGAAGTTGTGGCGGGCGGTACGTGCCGGCCTGTATTGGATGATCCACATGGGCCCGCCCTGCGCCACGTGGTCAAGGGCACGATCGCCGCCCTTGCGCTCGCTGCGGCACTTGCTGGGCGTACCTGGCCTCTCGTTCGACAAGCGCGAGGCGGTCAGGACTGGCACCTACCTGATGCTGGTGGCGGTCGAGTTGGCGGTCTACTGCGTGAACCACGGGATCTACTTCGTGATCGAGAACCCTTACACCTCGTTGGCCTGGGAGTTCGAGCCGATGAAGGACCTGTGCGAGCTCCCCACGGTCTTCACCATAACGCTCGACTACTGTCAGTATGGCGAGGACTGGCGCAAGACCACCAGGCTTGTGACCAACTGCGACGCCCTTTCACCTCTGGCCAAGCGTTGCCACATGCACAAAGGGGTTTGTTCGGCCACGGGTCTTCCTCACCAAGAGCTGCGAGGGAGAGTGCCTTCGGGCACGCCGGGCTACCTCTCCGTGGCCAACGAGCTTTGGACCAAGGTTGCGTGCCCATACCCTTGGCGCCTCTGCAGGGCCTACGCCGACTTGTTGACCGATTTGGTTCCGCTGCCGACTTTGCCTGGCGAGGGCTCTCGGATTTTGCCGCCCCGTCCGTCCAGGCCAAAAGGGGGGCCGCCCCCCGAGGTAGGCCCCTCCTGGAGGAAGCAGTCGCGTTGGCATCTCATCACCATGAAGGAGTGGGAAAAGGACGAGCACCAGAATGTCCTCGAGTGCCGGGCGGCCGTGGCCATCCTTCGACGACTTTCACGAGCACCTGCACACTGGAACAAGAGGGTCCTCATCATCACCGATTCCCTAGTCACTTTGGGCTGCCTAGCCAAGGGCCGCTCAAGTTCTCGTCCGCTTCTTCGGCCATGTCGGCAAGCAGCAGCGGTGCAACTCGTCAGTGGGATGCGGCCCTTTTTCCGCTGGGTCTCGAGTCCCAACAATGTCGCCGACGGGCCTTCTCGCGGGGGTCCCCTCGGCATCGACAAGGGCACGGCCGGGAAGGCTTTGATGAAGGTGAAGGGTGTCCCAAAGAAGGTTCTGGGTCGTCTGAGAAGGTTCAGACCGAGGTGTGCTACTTCGGCCTCGACAAAAGTGGGGCGGCTCTGACGCATCGTCCCTTGTTTCCGCTGTGGTGCTTCAAGGTTGTCTGTCTGCTGTCCCTCGTGCAGTTTGCGCTCGTCGACGCAGGGCCCACTGTGAAGCGAGACCTCGCCCCTGGGGAAGTTGATTACGGCTCTGCGGCGCGCATTGGACGATCAAGAAAGAAGGGCTTCAGGACGGAGGTCCATGATCTTCCTGGAGGTGATCATTATCCTGTGAGGAGAATTGATGTCGTCCCCTTGAAGAGGAGAGGCGCCAGAGCTTGGATAAATGCTGCGGACAGGAATCCTTTTGACGGTCTAGGCCAGGAAGCTCCGAGGTTGCTGATCCACAAGGTTGATGACAATACCAACTGGATCTACGTCAACTGGGTCAGTCGCTTCCTTCGAGCTGCTCAGAAAGACGCCATACCTTTGGACACGATCAAGCAGCGTGACGCAGCCATGGCCCAGTACTTGTCCTTCATGTGCTACACCCTCCAGCTGCCTCACGTTCACGGTGGCCACCTCCTTTCGGGCTTTGCTCACATCTTTCCTGAGCACAAGGACGCCATGCCGCTCAGCGCCAGGGCTCTCAAGTCGTGGGAGGCGCTCCGTATGATGCCAGAGGGAAAGGCCATCTGCAGGGAGATCGTGGCGCTGATGATCCTCAAGCTCATCGACTTCGGTTACATCATGTCTGCCATCGCAGTTTTGTACTCGTACGACATCTTCGGCAGGGAGCAGGACTGGTATCTTCTCCGCGGGTCCGATGTTATCTCCGATGGGGACCAGGTGGCCGTGCGACTCGGCAGCCGGGAGCGCGGCGAGATGGTCAAGACGGGCGCCAACCAGGGCCTCCTCATCGCGTCGCCGTACACCGCGGCCATCGTGGAGACGCTGGCCAGGAGCGTCCCCGGCGACGGCCTCGTCTTCGCGCTCACGACCTCCGAGTACCGGAGGCACTGGGGCAAGGCCGCCCTGAGCCTAGGTCTGCAGGACCTCGGCCCTCCGCACTCCCTGCGGCACTCCGGAGCGGCCGAGTTCGTCTATAGAAATGGGTCTTTGGAGTCGTGCAGGAGGAGGGGAAGATGGTCCGCTCTGAGTAGTGTCCAGAGATACACGAAGCAGCATGTTCTGACTGAGAGTAGGGCTTCTCTTTCCCGGGTCGACCTCTCCAGGGGACGGGCCTTCTGGGCCCATCCTCGTCGCTCGCTGCTGGATGCGCTCAAAAAATCTCGGTGGTCCGGGGATCCTCTGGCCCGTCTGTGCGTTCAGGCTCTTTCGGCCAAAGAAGCTGTCGATCCGAGCCCGGGTCACCCGCATTTAGAGGTTGAGAGATTTAAGCCTGTTAGTCTCTACGGCTCGACTCCGTCGCACGATTTTTCAAGCGAAAAGATTCGTGGTAGGCCTTTGAGGCA